GTCATGTGCCAAAATAGTATGTGCACCTTCTTATTTGGGCAAAGGTTGTGTTATATGTGCCCTCTGTCATGTGCTGTCATATGTGTACCTTCTGTCATGTGTTGTAGAAGTTATATACCTCTTGTTTGCTATGTGTTGTGCTAGCATGTGTACCTTCTGTCATGTGCTGTGTCATATGTGGGTACCTTCTGTCATGTATGTTGTGTCATATGTGTACCTTCTGTCATGCCAGGTCATATGTGTAATTCTTCTGTCATGTATGTTATATGTGTATCTTCTGTCATGCATGTGGCTCATATGTGGCACCTTCTGTCACAGTTGGTCATATGTGTACCTTCTGTCATGTGCTGTCATATGTGCACCTTCTGTCATGTGCCAGTCATATGTGCACCTTCTGTCATGCTGTGTTATATGGGTACCTTCTGTCATGTGCTGTCATATGTGTACCTTCTGTCATGTGCTGTGGGGTTATATGTGTACCTTCTGTCATAGCCAGGTCATATGTGTACCTCTGTCATGTGCTGTGTCATATGTGTACCTTCTGTCAGTGTGTTGTAATATATGTGTACCTTCTGTCATGTGCTGTGTTATATGTGGCACCTTCTATTACAGGGGTTGAAGCCATATGTAAGTAATTCTCTGTCATGTGTTGTGTCATATGTGTACCTTCTGTCATGTGTCAGGTTATAAGGTGGGGTAATTCCTTCTGTCATAAAAGGTTGTGTCAGTGGTGGTACCTTCTGTCAGTGTGGCTGTGTCATATAGTACCTTCTGGTCATGTGCTGTGTTATATGTGTACCTTCTTGTCATGTACAGGTCATATGTGTAATTCTGTCATGTGCTGTAACATATGTGCACCTTCTGTCATGTGTCAGTCATATGTGTAATTCCTCTCTCTCTGGTCATGTGCTGTGTCATATGTGTACCTTCTGGTCATGTGTTGTGTCATATGTGTATCTTCTGTCATGTGCTGTGTCATATGTGTAATTCCTCTGTTATGTGCTGTGGGTCATATGTGGCAAAATCTTCTGTCGTGCCAGGTCATATGTGTACCTTTCTGTTAGTAATGTGCCAGGTCATATGTGTACTTTCTTGTCATGTGCTGTGTCATATGTGTAATTCTCTCTGGTCATGTGTTGTGTCATATGTGTACCTTCTGTCATAAAGGTTGTGTTATATGTGGTACCTTTCCGTCATGTGTCAGTCATATCAAGTCAAGTGTCACACACCCTCCCAGCTCCCATATGTGTCAATTTTTAGCGATTATAAAGTTAGCGAAAAGGTGAAATTTTTTTAGCCATTCTAAAGTTAGCGAAAAGGCGATTAATTTTTAGCAATTTTTAAGTTAGCGAAAAGGCGAATAATTTTTAGCGTTTTTTAAGTTAGCGAAAAAGTGAATATTTTTTAGCGATTCTAAAGTTAGCGATAAAGCGAAATTTTTTTTAGTGATTCTTAAATTGGCGATTAAATTGGCTCCCTTCACCAGGTAACTCATTTACAGGTGATTTAATTATACCTGATTAACCTGAATTGAAAGGTGATAGTGGTGGTCCATACATACACACACATACGTACATACAAGCTAAATCACACACACATACATACACATACACACACACATACACACACACACCTGTACACACACACACACACCTGTATACACACACACCTGACTTATTATCATTACCCAGATTAATTGATTTAAAACTCTGATAAAAACAGGACGAATTTAACCTCATAAATACAAGTAAATTATTGTGGCTTTAAGGTGTTGTTTGTTTGTTTGTTGTTGTTTGTTAGTTCTATTAGATTTGGGCCTTCTTCCGTTAACCACCCTTAACCACCCCTAACCTCCCTTAACCACCCCTAACCACCCCTAACCACCCTTAACCATAACCACCCTAACCACCCTAACCACCCTTAACCACCCCTAACCTCCCTAACCACCCCTAACCACCCCTAACCACCCTTAACCACCCCTAACCACCTCTTAACCACCCTTAACCACCCCTAAACCACCTTAACCACCCCTAACCAATTCTTAACCACCCTTAACCACCCCTAACCTCCTTAACCACCCCTAACCACCCCCTAACCACCCTTAACCAATCCTTAACCACCCTAACCTCCCTTAACCAATTCCTAACCACCCCTAACCACTTAACCACCCCTTAACCACCCCTAACCACCCTTTTAACCACCCCTAACCACCCTAACCATCTCTAACCACCCCTAACCACCCTGAACCACCCTAACCACCCCTAACCACCCTGAACCACCCCTAACCACCCTTAACCAATCCCTAACCACCCTAACCACCCTTAACCACCCCTAACCACCCTTAACCACCCCTAACCAACTCTTAACCACCCCTAACCACCCTGAACCACCCCTAACCACCCTTAACCACCCTCTAACAGGGGAAGACGGGTGGAACGACCCTTACCACGTGGATGGCACTTGGGTCAACCTACAGCTGCTGGATGCCAATGATAACACGCCCACTTTCACCCATAGCCACGCCCACTTGACCCTGGCTGAAGACACGCCCCTAGCTCCCACCTGGTGTCGTTTACGCTGAGGATATTGATGTGGGGTGAGTGGGTGGGGGGGAGGGGTGATTGGTGGGGAAGGGGGGGGATGGTGGGGGAGGATGGGATGAGTGGAGTGGAGAGGAGAGAGAGAGAGAGAGAGAGAGAGAGAGAGAGAGAGAACGTAACACAAATAAATCAGTAAAATAAAACCAAACCCACTCTAACCCACTCTAACCCACTCTAACCCACTCAAACCCACTCAAACCCACTCTAACCCACTCAAACCCACTCAACCACTCTAACCCACTCTAACCCACTCAAACCCACTCTAACCCACTCTAACCCACTCAGGGAGGAGAGAGCCGTATCAGGTACACAGTGGCGCCAATTAGTGATCCAGGTGGGCTATTTACGGTGGACTCATCTGGGGCAGTTCGACTCGTGGGCGGGCTAGACAGAGAGACCGCCCACGCCCACGAGGTCCTGGTGTGGCGGTGGTGAATGTGAGCCGCCCAGAACTGCTACAGCGACTCTGATGGTGAGTATTGGTGGTAGTGGTGGTAGAATGATGGTGTTTAATGGTGTTATAATGAGACAGATTGATTGGTTGTTATCCTTCCCTCCTTCCTTCCTTCCCTCCCTCCTTCCCTCCTTCCCTCCTTCCCTCCATCAATAACACCCCTCTCACCCCTCCTTCCTCCCTCCTTCCCTCCCTCCCCCCTCCCTCCTTCCCCCTCCCTCCTACCCTCCTCCTTCCCTTCCCTCCCTCCCTCCTTCCTTCCCCTTCCTTCCTTCCTTCCTTCCTTCCTTCCTTCCCCTCCTTCCCTCCTTCCCTCCTTCCTCCTTCAATAACACCCTCTCTCACCCACCTTCCTCCTTCCTCCTTCAATAACACCCGTCCACCCCTCCTCCTCAATAACACCGTCCTCACCCACCTCTTCCCTCCTTCCTCCTTCAATAACACCTGCCTCACCCACTCCTTCCTCCTTCCCTCCTTCACAACACCGCCTCACCCACTCCTTCCTCCTCCCCTCCTTCAATAACACCCCTCTCTCACTCCTTCCTCCTTAACACCCCTCACCCACTCCCTCCTTCAATAACACCCTCACCCCTCCCCTCCTCCTCCTTCAATAACACTCTCTCTCACCCCTCCTTCCTCCCTCCTTCAACAACACCCGTCTCACCCCCCCCCCCCCCACCCCCCCCCCACCCTCCTACCCCTCCTCCTCTTCCCTCCTTCACAACACCTCTCTCACCCACCTTCCCTCCTTCCCTTCTTCAATAACACCCCTCTCACCACCCTTCCCTCCTTCCCTCCTTCAATAACACCCGTCCTCACCCACCCTTCCCTCCTTCCCTCCTTCAATAACACCCCTCTCACCCACTCTTCCCTCCTTCCCTCCTTCAATAACACCCTCTCTCACCCACTCCTTCCCTCCTCCTTCCCTCCTTCCACAACACCTGTCTCTCTACCCACCTTCCCTCCTTCCCTCTTCAATAACACCTGCTCTCACCCACTCCTTCCTCCTTCCCTCCTTCAATAACACCCGTCTCACCCACTCCTTCCCTCCTTCCTCCTTCAACAACACCCCTCTCACCCACTCCTTCCCTCCTTCAATAACACCGTCTCTCACCTCCTTCCCTCCTTCCCTCCTTCAATAACACCCGTCTCTCACCCCTCCTTCCTCCTTCCCTCCTTCAATAACACCCGTCTCTCACCCACTCTTCCCTCTTCCCTCCTTCAATAACACCCCTCTCTCACCCTCTTCCCTCCTTCCCTCCTTATACCCGTCTCTCACCCTCCTTCCCTCCTTCCCTCCTTAATAACACCGTCTCTCACCCTCCTTCCCTCCTTCCCTCCTTCAATAACACCCGTCTCTCACCCCTCCTTCCCTCCTTCCCTCCTTCAACAACACCCGTCTCTCACCCTCCTTCCCTCCTTCCTCCCTCAATAACACCCGTCTCTCACCCCTCCTTCCCTCCTTCCCTCCTTCAATAACACCCGTCTCTCACCCTCCTTCCCTCCTTCCCTCCTTCAATAACACCGTCTCTCACCCCTCCTTCCCTCCTTCCCTCCTTCAATAACACCCGTCTCTCCACCTCCTTCCCTCCTTCCCTCCTTCAATAACACCGTCTCTCACCCTCCTTCCCTCCTTCCCTCCTTCAATAACACCCGTCTCTCACCCACTCCTTCCTTCCTTCCATCCTTCATACACCCGTCTCTCACCCACTCCTTCCCTCCTTCCCTCCTTCAATAACACCGTCTCTCACCCCTCCTTCCCTCCTTCCCTCCTTCAATAACACCCGCTCTCACCCACTCCTTCCCTCCTTCCATCCTTCAATAACACCCGTCTCTCACCCCTCCTTCCCTCCTTCCCTCCTTCAATAACACCCGTCTCTCACCCACTCCTTCCCTCCTTCCCTCCTTCAATAACACCCCTCTCTCACCCACTCCTTCAGATCAACGTGACGGACATCAACGATAACCCGCCTCACCTCTCAGGGCCACGGGAGGTCCAGGTACAGGAGAATGGCCCACCTCAGGCCATAGCCAGGGTCACACTCGATGACCCTGATGATTGGGAGGAAGGCCATGGCCCTCCCTTCAACATGGCCCTGGACCCTAATGCCCCGCTACATATCACAGCTGCTCTTGAAGTCCGTTTTGACAGAGGTGAGTTTAGTGTCTGTCTGTCTGTCTGTCTGTATAACCACCACCACCACCACCACAACATTCATCGTCTCTCTTAACCCAACAGCAGGGGACGAAGGACGTGGGCTAGGGGTTCTATGGACGAGGATGCCATTGGATAGAGAAGAAAGACGTGTTCTCTCCGTCCCTATTGTGGTGGGGGATAGTGGGTCGCCATCCATCACCAGTACACTAACTCTGACTGTCCTGGTGGCTGATCTAAATGACAATCCAATGGGTCCAGCTGCTAAGACTATTAGTGTACATATTGTGAGGGTAGATGTGTGTGTGTGTGTGTGTGTGTGTGTGTGTGTGTGTGTGTGTGTGTGTGTGTGTGTGTGTGTGTGTGTGTATATATAATACCCATTAAATGAAGGTTTTCTATGACATAATCCAATTCTCCACACAGTCTCAGATTA